TCCTCTATCATCTGCTTGTTCGTTACTTACAGCACATTACGCTCCCCTACTCATCTGCTTGTTCGTTGCTTACAGTACACTACGCTCCTCTATCATCTGCTTGTTCGTTGCTTACAGCACACTACGCTCCTCTATCATCTGCTTGTTCGTTGCTTACAGCACACAACGCTCCTCTATCATCTGCTTGTTCGTTGCTTACAGCACACTACGCTCCTCTATCATCTGCTTGTTCGTTGCTTACAGCACACTACGCTCCTCTGTAAGGACCTCTACCACGTGTGTTGCAGTTAGAATTGATTTAAAACCATCTGTTTTTGGTGTTGTAAAATCGCTAATCACAACAGAAGAACTTATATGACATCTGCGGAGATTTTGTTTGTTTGAAACTATGCACAATGGGATATCTGTGCTTTACCCACCACGGGTATTGAAACCCGGTTTCTAGCGTTGTAAGTCCGCAGACATACCGCTGTGCCACTGGGGAGCCATCTGTAAAGAAGGATGATTCGATGTTATCCTGTATATGTATCTATATATAAACTAATGAGAAACATGATGGTGCAACTTGCAGTGTCACAAATATAGGATTTAGATCATATTCAAGATATGTGCAGAATATCCTGGGCACATAAATGTATTTTTACTGAAATTGTATAATCGTATGTGGTTGCATATGGTTCATGGATTTATCTTTCAGGGACTTGCATTGTATTTTATATTCCCTAGTTTTAAAGCAACCAAATATTGTATCTTCTTTTAAAACTAGGGTTTCTGCCCCTCCCCCCTCGAGAAGATTCTCGGGGGAACGTAACACAACCCCCTACACGGGTTGTTCTGAGGACTCGAAATATGGACTTGAATAAATCTTCTAGGAGGTTAACTAGGAGGTTATTAAAGTACATTAGCTTGCAAGAAAAATACGAACGCTCTAGCCTACAGCAACCAAATGTTGCCCCTGTATATAGAAATATGACTGATCATTCTAACCACACCTTCAAAGGGGGAGTAACATCAAAATATCAGGTGCCTTTCACCAGCGTTTGTTTTTTGTTTTTAAGGGAGGAAGCGATGTTCATTAGTGCTTTATAATATATCTTGGTGACATAAGGACACTTTCGTACAAGGTCCTGTACATCCGTAATGTAACCCAGACAAATCACGTGAGTGTAGGTTGGGTGTTTAAGCCCTAAGTAGTTGTTCCGATGACGTATCAGTTAGGCAGAGAGGTGAAAAATTACGGTAGTGCTGAATTATTACAAATTGAAGCATAATTTTCCAAACAGCTCGAGAAGAACGAAGTCACACAGCAATACACACCCTCCCTTTCCGAGATCTCGCGCAGCGTATTACCCACAATTCCGTTCTCTTTAACGATTAAAAAACAGAGAAAATAGGTTTATGGCAAAGTATGTGCCCCACGGTTGAAGTAAAAAGGGGGAATAAGTGAAATATTGATGCCTAACAAGTCTATAATTCAGATAATTATAAGTTTTAACTGAAGACAAAAATATGACAGAGGTACTTCCAAAGATATCGACTTTACACACTCTGATCAGTGATTTTGTATATAAAATGTTCCTGTTATGTATTATTTGTTATTTTAAAAAACATGTTAGTTTGTGATTTTTAAATACCCTATTTACCTAAAATATGTATGTATGTATAATATACGATATCGCATTACTAATAAACTTACATCTAGAGGGCGTGCATAATAAAATACGTGAAAATAATAAGTTTTTTTCAGTTATTAGTGTTTTGTGAATAGAGCGAAATTCTCAGAATTATTTTACCGAGAGCTAATAAAGTTTACTAATGTCTTTAAATTTGTCATAAGACATTTTTGTTAAGCCTATTACATTTTAAAACACTACATTTTTCATTTAATCCCTTTGGGATTTTCAAGAATTAAAAGGGTGTATTATATTAATAGCAGTCTCACCACGCTATATTCACCATATCCATTGCCGACGACGCGTTTCGCTAAATCCATAGTTCATCAGGCTGGCTGGGATACAGCAAACATAGAAGTGGTTGTAATACTACCTATATAAGACAATTGTTATGGTGTGAACGCCTTTTACAAGCTGGTAAATGTGTCTGTTTATCTTATACACGTAGAACCTGATTTCAGGGTTTGTCTTCCGTTTTAGGCTGGTACTGTTAAAAGATAGGGATATAACCTTTGACCTTGACCCTCCAAAAATTAATCACTTCTAAGTTGGATCATATTTCAAATGTTTACTAAGTTTTTTTCCAAATCCTGCTGTCAAACATACACACATACGACAAACAAATACACACACAGGGGGTGAAAACATAAACCTCCGTCACCTTCAGTGGCAGAGGTAAAAATATGTAAGAAAATTACCATTAGTATTGTAAATGCTTACACTATTTACTTATGTGGTCCCTTATGTATCTTACTTGGAAAAATAAGTGATTTCATCCGGATGTTGGGTCAGTTCTGTACAAAAGCGCTACAAGGGACAAAAAACATAATAGGGTCAGTTCTGTACAAAAGCGCTACAAGGGACAAAAAACATAATAGGGTCAGTTCTGTACAAAAGCGCTACAAGGGACAAAAAACATAATAGGGTCAGTTCTGTACAAAAGCGCTACAAGGGACAAAAACATAATAGGGTCAGTTCTGTACAAAAGCGCTACAAGGGACAAAAAATATAATAGGGTCAGTTCTGTACAAAAGCGCTACAAGGGACAAAAAACATAATAGGGTCAGTTCTGTACAAAAGCGCTACAAGGGACAAAAAACATAATATTATTTAATCCATTATATGAACACCACGGATAGTGTAAAAAAAGGGGGGAGGTAATTTGTAGATTAAACGATAATCTCTGATGGATCTAACGTTAAAAATATCTAATTAATACAAACTTCCAGGTTCAAACACATCTGACTTTGTAAGTTGTTGAGAGTGCGATATTGATATCATCTTAGCGATATCTTCGTTTCTCTCAGTGTTTGAACAACCACCTTGCATATTTTTTATATCTAACTTTCATAAGATGCGACACAATTACCGCTTTTTATCTGTTTCATTATCTACACTGCTGATCAAATCACTTTTTAGACTTGATCTTCGCTGTTTACCCGTCATCTTATTGAACTGATAACTGATCAGGTTATCAAAGTTATGACGTATACATTGCTCTTGTTTAGTCAGTTTATTTTTTATTTTCACTTCTGCAAGGAAACATCAATGATAATGCTATGAAGGGGTGCTAGGTACTGAAGTTTTGAAAACAAGTTTGCACCTAGTGATTTATAGACGGCGAAACCGGGGGGCACGTACCCCCCAAAAGGAAATTGGTCCCCCCTCCCTTCCCCAATATTTTGCTAACAAAATTTTTTTATCTGTAGTCGGCCGACTTTGCCAGCCGAAATAAAATTAGACTACAGTTCTTTGGCAAATTCTAAGTATTACGCTATTATTAACGTTTTGTGTATTTGTGTAATGTGTATACTGGTTATTATATGAAACATTCTTATCATTTGTATCATTTACCGTTTTGCAGTACAAAGTAAACAATTTCATTTGTACTCGTGATTGTGTGAAATTGTTGAATAATATCTTAAAGCGTTTTTGTTGATTGTCAGACATATTATTACTCATTTACAACTGACTCCCTCCAATGTTTTGTACGTTCCGACGTGCAAGGTGGTTGGTTTTAAGTGATTATATATTTGTAGCAACGTTTCTACGAGGTTGTTAGTTAGTTTTCAACATAAATTTCAATTTTCTTTGGTATTGTAAATGAGCAATTTATAACAAGAATCATTATGTGTGTGCGTGGGAAGTATAAATATATGGGTAGAAGAGCTTAGTTCGAATTTATCCAATCTTGTCAAAGTGGGCCTATTGCTATAAGTGTTAATTAGGGTACTGGGAGGGGGTCCTGAAAATGTCTTTACAATTAGAGTGACAATATGAGCCTATTTTGATACACTATGGTCAAAGAAATGATGGAAATAAGGGGGAAGGAGGTATAAGCGAAAATAATGTGGAAATAAACAATATAATAACCAGTTTACATGACCTTCAATTTTTTTTTATCTTAATCTCTTGATCTTATCTTTTCGCACTTTATCTCCAGTTACCAATTAAAGAGAGTAATTATTTTGGACCAAAAATGAAATTTGATTTAGGTAAGTAGTAAACGTCTTGAAATTTATGGCGCCACGAGGTGTATGCTGGCCTTTGTGTATTGAAGATGTCTTCCAACGCCATCTATCCCTGTTCTGACGCGATTTTCCTTCTTTGC